CATTGGAGACTGACAGGTGGCCTCAGTGTATAAGATCATGAGGGCCATGGATAGGGTATGGTTTAAGGTGAGAGGGGAAAGATTTAAAAGGGGCCTAAGGGGGCAGAGGGTGGTGCATGTTTAGAATGAGAAGTGGTGGAGGCTGGTACAATTACAACATTTAAAAGGCATCTGGATGTAAATGAACAGGAAGGGTTTACAGGGATATGGGCTAAATGCTGGCAAATGGGACTAGATTAATCTAGGATATCTGGTTGGCATCGATGAGTTAGACTGAAGGGTCTCTCCATGCTGTACATCTGACTCTAAGTATCTGCAAATTGAGAAAATTGACACCACATAACCATGTGACACTCTTCCAGCAAAGTTAAGGGGACAGAAGGAATGCGGAGTGTAATGTAGGACTTTTAACACATTATAGAACTATTTAGGCAAGGGAACCATTCTTGTATTTGTACCTAAAGTTTCACATAGATGTTAATTCTTTCATTTGTTTAACAGGAGATCTTTGTCACATACACTTAAAGTCAGGTTTATACAACATGGAAACAGACCTTTTGGTCCAACTTGTTTGCACTGACCAGACATCCTAAACTGATCTAGTTCCATTTGCCAGCATTTGGCCCATATCCCTCTAAACCCCTCATTTTAATGTACCCATCCAGATGCCTTTTAAATGTTGTAATTGTAGCCACCACCTCTGACAGCACATTCTGTATACACACCACCCTCTGCATGAAAAGTTGCCCCTCGGATCCTTTCAAATCTTTCCTCTCTCACCTTAAACCTATGCTTTCTAGTTCTGAACACTCCTATCCTGGGAAAAAGATCTTGGCTATTCACCCTATCCATGGCCATCATGATTTTGTAAACCTCTATAAGGTCACCCCTCAGTCTTCACTCCAAGAATAAAAAAGCCCCAGCCTATTTAGCCTCTCCTGTAGCTCAAATCCTCCAATTCCAGCTTTCTAAATGCTTTCATGTTTGACAAACTTCTCATTATGTTGTAACTAAATAAGCGTTCATATGATTTTAGGGATACCTCTAGCCCATTATGGGTTTTGGTGAATAAATCAAATACCAATTTTGTCAAATGTGCATGCTTGATGACCAGAGTCTTTTCTACAGTGCAAACTGGAGTTGCAGGTCAGGACCCTGTGGAATCCCAAATGAGGCGGACTCTGTGGGAATTGTCTGGAATGCTGATGGGCAAGTTCTTTGCATTTGAACCCTCTGAAATAATCCTTGGCATTGAAGAATTCAGAGGGTTACACTTTCATTTAGTTAATTGTTACCCAGAGCAGTTAGACAATTAAAGACTTGCACTAACTCGTGGGTAACTATTGAGCTGAACCACCCCACACACAACATCCCCACAAAAACTTACTCTAAGCACTCCCATCACTTGCCTCGCATTCTAACCCCAGACTTGCCTTATATACTTAACTTTCACAGCAGCTGTCCAGGTGTCTAGCTGCGTTGATCCACATTTAAATCTCAGAACATAGCACACTGACTGCTACAAAAAGGGGTGTGGTTTGAGTTTCCTGCAACATAAGAGAGTTTGCTTTGTTTCCGATATACCCTGCTTCTGAAGCAGCCAGGATCGGAATTCCCAGCTAGAAATGCAGACCTTGATAACACTATACAAACTAGAGAAAATCTGACAGTTATCTGGTCCATTGTAAAGCAGATGTATAGCTTTGATGCATATAAGTTATTCCTTTCTGCTTTGGGGATTTCTAACTTTATCTCCTGGAGACTTCAGTTGCTCTATACACTAAGCTCTCTGTAGTTGGATTTTCCATCTCTGCATGGTCCACACTTCTGCCCTAGTGCTTCAGAATGAAGTTTTGCCTTTGGAGTACTGAGTTTGCCACCTTGCTGCTTCCACAGCTGTCACTATCTTCACTCGTTGGTAATAGCATTTCAGCTGCTGGCTGGCTGACAGTCATCTTAAAGTGGTAATGACCTTAAAGTGATAAACTAATTTGCTTCAAATCTCTTTCCTTGGTCTTCTGGGTTTCTTCAGCTCATGAGTCAGATCCGTACTGCTGCAACAATGATATTTTCCCAGATGACTATCACTAACACCTTGTAGAATCTGCCACTTCTGCCATTGTGCAAGTGTTTTTAGGTAGTTTTCAGTCACCAAGCCTTTTGTCTTGGGCCTAACAACTAGTGATTAATGATATAAGATGTGTCACTGTAGAGTATCTACAGAAGAGATACAGCTTTTCTTCAGTTAAAAAGGTTTATTGCATGATAGCAATAAGTACAACATTATTTGGTAAGACATGATTGTTAAGAACTTAAGTAGCCAGTAAATATACATCAACTTCCTCTGAAATTTGGAGCAGAATTGCTTGTCTCCACACACAAACTGTGACGCACGGAGCCAATATGACATGAACATTAACTCCTTCAGAAACAATACCTTGATAAAATAGTGGAAATCTTACCCTAAATAAATCAATGCTGCTCCCAGCATGAAATGTTTTTTAGGGCGGCTGGCTTTTGAGTCGGTGGGCCGATGATCAACTTGTCAGTTGGCAGGGGTGCAGAGAAAACAGTGTCCAGTAAAGTTCAGCCATCTGAATATCTTCTGTCAAATTTTTCAGGCTTTTTAAAAAAAAAACTCACTTTGAAATCATTATCGGCAAGGGAGCAATAGTTTAAAAACAATTGAAATGCAATTGAGGAAGAAGCATTGTATCATTTGGTTAACTTTTAAATGTTACTGATGTATCTTTGTAAATTGCACACAATGCATGTGCTCAGATCTGCCTTTAGTTTTAGGGCACTGAATGTTGCATTTTGTTTGGCTAAGTGCCAGTTGCATCAAGGGCACGACCCAGTGGGACTTTTTTCGCAAAATCTGACCAAACACACCTCACTAATTACCTACTCCATCTCTAGTGTCTCTTTCGCCTGATCCTAGCCCCATACAATCACGCACCATTCCCAGAACAACTTGTCACTGCCAGGATATGCTGGAATTACCTCACATTCCCGGCATCCATGCCACCTTTTAAAGGCTGTTGTGAACTAGGATACTGCCACTTTAGTCCAGAGCAGCCCAGCTTGGTTCCTGATATCTACGCTATTTGTTCTGATGAAGGATCATTGGACCCGAAACATTGACTTTGCTTTTTTGCCATAGATGGTGCTAAACCTGCTGAGTTTCACCAGCAATTTGTTTTTCAGGTTTCCATCATCCATAGTCCGTGGTTTTATTTATTTGCCCTATTCATGGTAGATGAGTAAAAATTGGTGCCCTGGAATATGGACAGGGACCTGAAGGCCCTGGTGCTTAGTGTTGTGCGGCAGTGGGTGTCCTTCTCCCACAGGACCAGCAATGGAGGCCCTGACATCAAACAATCCCAGTCTTATCTAAGGTTGCCATCCAGGTTACTGTGGACAAAACCATCTGTAGGAATGACTACCACTAAAGGAAGAAGGTCAATGTCGTCCTCCATTCTGCCAGTGTAAGGGCCACCATCTTCTCTGCAATACCTTACTATATATTTCTGTCATTGTGCCAACCTCCCACCATTGTTCATGCTCTGCCAGTGCCACTGTTGGCTGTAATACCTTCTGTCACTCTGTGACCCATTCAAGTCACCCTCCACAGCACCGCCCCATAAACCAGGACCTCCAGATCCCTATTCACAAAGCGGAGCATCGATTTTCCCTTGTCTGCTGTGTCTGGAGTAGATATCAGGGGGAAGTCCAGACTGGTGACAGTCCAAGTGAACAATGGCCTTTTGAGGATGGCACTGGCACCAGGGATGCCTATCCATTCTGGGATACCCCAACTCTAGTAATTTGTTCCAAATGCAGCAAGTGGTAGAATGAGCAAGGTGGGGGAGGGTGCAATAGGGGCATGGCAAATAATTAATGAGGCGAGTTTGGTGAGCGATCTTACTCGGCCTCATGAAGAGGATCTCTCCATAAAATTTCATGAAACTTGCAGCCAAAAAATAGGATGCAGCCCTTGGTGTTAACATTCGTACAAACATGTTCAGTTATGTTATTGTAGAATCTGTACTCTGAATTTTAAAAACAAATTGTTTGAACTCTTAGTTGGATGTTAGAAATTTAAATTATAATGAGTGGCAGAAAGTTGAATAGCTTGGTTTATTAAAATGTAACAGTGACATTGTCATTTTCTCACACGATATTTTAATAATATTTACATATGGGATTGTATTATAAATCTTTACATTGTAATACTAAAACAGGGTTACAAAAATTGACATCTGAGAGTAGGAAATACTTCCAATTTTCTACGTTTTTCAATACACATTTTCGCCTCTCGTGTTGCACAAAGGAGTCAGCACCAAATGTGGCAGTGTGAAATAGAGGTTCAGGAATAACTATGGCAGGACATGATGCACTGCAGCCTCAGTTTTTATGATATTTTTATTTTTATCAATTAGTTTAATATGCCTCCTAGTTGAATTGTAAAGCCTGTCAAAATTTGTGGAACAGAAGTTGAATTGATTGTAGGGCTAATTTACTTTTTAGTACAAGTTGAGAACCTGGGAATTGCAAGGTGGAGGGTCTACACAGATACTTCATCAAACTTACATCATGGACACCAGCTAGTCGTCATAAATATGACAACATTTCTGCTCCATGCAAGCAAAATCCCTAATCCTATTTACCCACTTGTTCCATTTCTCAACATTCCATATTTTGCTTCATTGACCGACTCAACCAAACCTTAAATGTCATATTTTCTGCCTCTGACATTAACTCTGGAAGTGAATTCCACAGCTTCACAGCTGTCTGAAAAGTTAACTAAAGTGCATGGGGTTTATTTGGTCACTTTCCATTATATCTGTGTACGGTTGTAAAAATGTGACAACAAGTGGACACAGACTTAATTCTTTCTAGAACATTAAAATCTTATGCATGGATAAATCGATTTAAGAAACCCCCATTGTGGCTTTCAGGTAAAATAAACTATAATTTTACTTTTCTTTCTATTTCAGAAATTGCCAACAGATGAATGTTTCTTCCATGAAAGATTGGAGCCAAATAACTACAATACATATCGTTCAAAGAAATATGAAAGTTGGTATGTTGCTCTCAAAAGAACTGGACAGTACAAACCCGGGCCAAAAACTGGACCAGGACAGAAAGCAATTCTGTTTCTGCCGATGTCTGCAAAGTGCTCATAGTCTTTTCCAGCTGTTCCCAATTTATTTAAAGTGGCAATTTCACAAACACAAAACTGACATGACTGTTTTATTGCTGTGAAAGGCACCAGTGTACACAGTATCTTGTCGCCATGCTTGAGTTGTTTTGGCGATTTTGCAAACTGCAGTAAATCAGCTGTGCAATATCACGCTATACAAAATGTGATTTTTAGTAAAATGTTATCACATTTGTTTTTTTTTTTTTTTTGAAATTATACAGAGTTAAACACCAAAATGTCCTGTATATAACCCCATATACTGGTTTATGTGGTAAATTATCAAGTTAATTTTGGTTCATAACTGTATAACAATTATTTTGATTTAGACTTGAGGTTGATGCTGTGATACAGTATTTACTTATCAAGATATTCAAAGGGTTACATACACTACAGTCCCAACAACTGTTACATTTGATTCCCTTACACTATTTGAACTGGCAACAAATACACAACTAGAACCAAACATTTAGGTGTTCATTTAGGTGTTTCATGTTGTCCACTGCCAGATTAAAATATTCATTTTTAAAATATAAATTCAATAATTCATTGGTTCTTTGTTTCATGTGCAGAGTCATAAATATTTAACTTGCAGTATGTATTGATAGCTATCCAAAAGGTATTGTGGAAATGTTATGTTCATTGTTTTGGAATGTTGTTTTACTTTTTTTGAGTTATTAGCATTTTTTTCATTTTGTGTTTTACTTTGAGGACTGCAAAACAGGCAATGGATTTTTGTAATTATAGGTTGGAATGACTGGGAGTGACCAAAGAAAAGCAATGATCAATGTGGAGATAGCAAGAACTGCAGACGCTGGAGGAACACAGCAGGCCAGGCAGCAACAGAGGAGCAGGAAAGTTGACGTTTCGGGTTGAGATCCTTTGGCAATGGGGAGAGAAGGGAGCTGGGAAATAAATAGAGAGGAGGGGTGGGGCTGGGGAAGGTAGGCGGGATGGGGATAAGTGAGTACAGCTAGGGAGTGGTGGGGATTGGTCAGTGGGATGGGCAGATAGGTGGGAGAGAAGATGGACAGGTTGTGTCAGGTCAAGGAGGCAGGGATGAGAGAGGGGCTTGGACATGGGATAACACAACCTGTCCATTTTTCTCTCCCACCTATCTGCCCCTCCCATCCCACTGACCAAATCCCACCACTCCCTACCTGCACTCACCTATCACCATCCCTAGCCCAACCCTCCTCTCTATTTATTTCCCAGCTCCCTTCGCCCTCCCCATTTCCGAAGAAGGGTCCTGACCCGAAATGTCAACTTTCCTTCTCCTGTGATGCTGCCTGGTCTGCTGTGTTCCTCCAGCTCCATACTGAATGATCAATAGAGGTTACTTAAATGAATATATGTAAATTAGGTTGGACTGGACCTTGTCCTTTTTATGGCCAAGGTCTTGATGAACAAGAATAGCCCTAGCCATTAATATGAAGTAAAATAGAATAGATCAATATGTATCGAGTAAAACTAACGAACCCTACAGGATTATGCACTTTCTGTTAGCGACATTGAACATATAACATCATAACTGTGCTTTAATAAACATAGTTACAGTGAAAGGATAGTTTCAGTTACATAACTGATGCTCTGGATTGTGACACTGACACATTCAAATTTCAACCAAAACAATACAGCATTGATTGGAAATTAAACACAACCAGACCATCACAAATACAGTCTCTACTGGACGCATCTCCGTGGACACACTTTTTAAAAATACATCTGTCTTTTTCCCTGCAAAGCTCCCTTCCCTTCCATCCTACATATTATAAGGAGACTGAAGTGAATTTGCTGAGTTAATTCATTGTCTTTTCCCTACCCCACTCGCTGTGGTATTTTGCATAATTTTTCCCAACATTGATTTCATGTGGAAAACATTATACTGTGGCCTGAAGAATGTTATTGAAGGTGGTACAAAACAAATTGGTACATTTATGATAAATTAGTTTCCATTTACCAAGAGCATTGTTTTCAAAGCTGTAAAAGTCCAACGTGTTTTGATGTGTGAAGCTACGATCTTAAGCCTTTGCTACAAACTCTGTTTGCTAGTCACTGTTTGCATACCCATTATTGGCCATTTGCTGAACATGAGCCAGACTATTTGCATCATCATTATTTGACCAGTTATCCTATTTGCCTCTGAGCTGGGCTACCAATCACACAAAACGACTATCATCATGACTGCCTACCAACACTGTAATATTACCTGTCGTCCTTCCTTCATCTGCTACTGAATCCCTCATCTATGTTTTAACCTCCAGATGCAATTATGCAGCTATTCCAATGCTCTCCTGACAACCTCCCACCTTATACCTTTTTAACATTAACCTAATCCAAAACTGCTGTCTGAATGCTAATTTACACCAAGTCGTGTTTAGCCGTAACCCCTCAAGTTGCTGACCTACATTGCTTCCTAGTCTAGCAATGCTGCAATCTTAAATTTTTTTTACTTTTTTGCCCCTCCCCAATCTTGTAGTAGCTTCCAGCTCACAACCATTTGAGAACTCTGCACTTCTCTGACTCTGGTCTTGTACACATTCCTGGTGTCCTCCCACATGTAATATCTTGCCTTTAGCTGCCTAGCCCTCTGCTCTGGAATTCCTTCCCTAAACCTGTCTGCTTCCTTTTTCCTTAAGATATTTGATGTGTTGCATATATAGGGTCATATTTGTATAATTAAGCTCTTTAAATGCTTTTGGGATATTTACTCTGATTTTTAAAAAATATAAAAGTAAACTTTGTTGATATACCCAAACATATTCTAAAAGGACACTTGTTTGTTTAGCATTCTTCCCCTACTGTTTTTTGTAAAGTTACGAATGAAGAATGAGATGAAAATATGCTGCAAGTTCTTCTGTAAACACAATTTTAAGAAGGAAGAAATGGATGAACCAATGATAATAATTGAGGCATTTTGTATGTGTTTTTAATTCAGTATTTAAACATATGAACTATAAACCTGAGGGAATCTGTCATTTTCAAAATTTAAGTGATGTATTGAGAAGCTTGGTTTTTATATTTGAATAAAAATGTTGCAAAGATATACTTCTCAACACTGAACAAAATTGGATTTTACCCATTATATAGATCATCAGTTATTTAATTTGTTTATTTGATTGAACAGACTAGAACAAATTGAATTTCTAATCTTTACAGCAACTATTTTCCTTCATAATCTATTTGATTCTATTTGGTTGCAGCTTCTCATATTTCTCTGGTAATTCTTTATGATAAAGCTTGTAAAAAAGCCCCGTGTAAACTGCTGGGAATTCTCTCATATTTACATCAATCTTGTCAAAGCCTTCCCTGTATCCATAAAACAACAGCTTGGCTATCCTGCTGGTTATAAGTGTTGTGTGTTCACTTCTGGCCAACTCCTTCAGATCCATCCATTCGCACCGCAGGCATTCTTCTTGGCAAAAATTGATGTCAAACGAGACCGCTTTCAGACGACAAACAATGTACATGTCTGATTTCCCAAAGGCTCCTGGATGGTTATGCTGTTGCCTGATGCTGAGAAGTGATATAAATTTGGACCTTATTCCGGTCTCTTCAAATACTTCTCGGACAGCTGTTTCGCCTAGAATCAACAGCCTGATTTAATTTTCAACATTCTTGGAAAGTGTCTGAAGTGATAATGTGAATACCAACATTGAGATTTCATAGATTAATTGCAAAATTACAGCATTTCAACACCTACAACGTCAGCATAAATAAGCTGCAAGCTATTTCATGGCAACTCGCGCACTTTCCAATGCTGGGTTTGTCGGCCTGCTATTTGGAGGGTCATATTGAATACCTGTCAAAGCCCAATGAAGTGCATGTAGCTACATTTCCAGGATATATATCAGTCACAGCTTTGAGGCATGTGTCGACTTCCTTCATGGGGTGTGTTACTTTACCTTAAGAAACTATTAATTCAGTTTTAGTTAAAAATCACACCCATCACTGGATATCATGAAAAAGAATGTAACTGACTCTATCATGGTACTGTAAAATAAGTACTATATCAGAACTTCATAAAACTGTACAGGTATCTTTGTGCAATTATGAGTATTGCAAGAAAATCACTTGCATATCCCATTTATCAAATGGATATTGTTTTGGTCTAGAAGAACAGATTATTTCTGCAGTATTCTGCAATAATTGTTCCTGACCACCATATATGGTTACTGTCTTCATTAACCCATGCATTGTATTTTCCTTTTAAATTGTTCCAGACAGCAATGCTTTAATTTTTGTATAAATTACCTGTTTTTATTCAATATATCTAGATTTTCAAGTTTTTGTTTGTTTGCATATGTGGGACATTATCCATTATAGCCGCTTGCTGATTCATACTGTTCCATCTGCGGAGAATAGCAGGGAACCAAGTTTTTGTTTTTAAATTAAATTCATTTAGCAAATGCATAGTGGGGTGGCAGATGACACAAGGTAAAGCACTTCTATCAAAGCTGGTGATAGCTGAGATATATGGTCAATGGGCATTCTGTCATTTATTCTTCATAAAGTGTCTGTTTCTGATTCAGTGCATGCCATTTATTAACAATTTAGTATGATACTACAATTTAAACTAAAAACTAATTTTACCAATACATTTTTTGAGGAATGGAATGTTACTTTGAACCAAACAGAAAAGGGTAAGCAGATGTTTAACCTGTGTCAATGGCAATAAAGAGGAAGACGAGATTCATCTTGGTAGATAATTGATTCCATTAAATGCAATTAATAAAGACATCAAAAAAATTGTTTTAACCTAAGGTTGTCAATCAAATCCACTTGTTTGAAGACTTGCAAATGCATGTAAATATTATTCCAAAATGAGGTGTTTTTATCAACTACATTTTAGTTTTTGATCATCCTTTCATGTTTCTCTTTCAAAGCCTGTTCATTTTTCACTTACAGTAGACCAGCAATGATCTCTTCTGTTTTATGGTATATTTTGAAGTGCTCTGAGTATGTTTCCTAGCTTTTTTTTGACAGTTACTTCACAAGAGACTGATTTGGTTAGACTAACTCTAAGAAATAAAGTAATTGTTGCAAGGAATTTTATACAAAGGACCTGAACTTTATTGTCTCAGCACAATAAAGTCCCAGCTGAACTGAAAAGAACTCAGTTGATACCCACTAGCAACAGCATACTGGCCTCCGAATAGTTGTAAATCCCTTGCCAATGTGAATATTTATTTTAACATACAGATGTAAATCTGTAAAACAGGTTTAGCTTGATGATATTATAGCATAGACACTGAGCTTTTATGCGCAAAATTGTTTAAAAACATTTTCGGGCATAAAAGAAACAGCACAGCTGCAAGAATTAGATTGTATGTGAACAAATTTCAGAACTATCCAATGCGTTCTTCATGCAACAAGAGACTGATAAGAGGACTTCTTTCAGTTGGAATTAAAAATGAGCTTTTATTGTACAATTTCAGTTCTGACATTCCTGAACAGTATTCATTTAAATAAAAGTTTTAAACTTGTAATCTTATTCTCGAAGCACAAGTATTTTCACACTGGCAGTTTTGTGCAAAGGATAAAATGCTACAGAAAATCCATTAGATTATTGCCAGTAGCAAACACAGCAATAAAAGATAAACAATTGTAAGTCAATGTTTCTGGTTTTTAAGCCATCCTATAATGGGATGGTCAGTTCTAATCTCAAACGTATGTATGAGCATCCACTAAACTTTTTACAGACAGGTAAATTTTTAAAAAGACCTAAATTATCAAGATTGTTTAAACATTTATTTTAAAATTGACACAATTAATCTAGTGATCTGTTTCTCCACTAGAATTATTTGCCAGCAGTGGAATTGGTCTTGTACCCTTCAGAGTGCCTCCTAAGCACCAAATGATTTGTTTTAACAAAATCTGTCTTTCTTTAATAGGTAACATTCAACTGACTAGGTTTATAAAGTAGAGGAAGTCTTAATCTGATATTTTACTTTCTTTAGCAACACCCTAATAGTTCTCCTTTTTGTTTAAATAATTTAGTTTTAGTCGATTTTTAGAATTGAGTTTTATAAGTTAATAATTCAAACACTGTTTTAAAACCATAACTTGTTTCTCTTACTGTGGAGCTGATAAATCTACAAGTAATGTTTGAATACTGAAGTCTAAGTAAATTCCAAAACAAACAACCAAAATTATTCAAAATAGAAATGCAAATATATTTGAGAATATTTATTCTTGCTCTAAATATTTAAGTACAGGAGGGTAGTGGGATGGCATTATTACAGTTGTTGGCTTAACACATTCAAAGCTGCTTTATTTATATGTACTCACCAATATCTTCACCCAGATCAGAGAGGCCTCCTGGAAACTTCCAAGCATTTTTTGTCTTTTAAAGAGAAATAGAAGTGCAAGTCACTAAAAATAAACTGTTATAAATGTGATGTAATATTACTCGCTACATTTTAAAACTACTTTTTAAAAGCAAAACCTATTAAAATGCTTTTTGTTGATCTTTAAATTAAATAAAGCAGTTGCAATTTTTTTTAAAGTATGTGAAATGATGAATGTTTTATTCTACTGATGCTCTAGGAACAAATGGAATAGAAGTGTTGAGTTTTGCTTTAAAAAAGGAAGCCTGTTTCCTTTTTAAAAGAAAACAATTGGAAAAAATGCTGCTAGTTCTTAAAAGAATAGGGAGAATAGAGGAGTTGATTTTTTTAAAAAATCAAGCTGCTATGTTTAGAAAACTTGTACAGACTGCAGCAAGGTTGTATTCACACTAATGCATTAACTTTCAGTAGTGGCCTTTTGAAATGTGTTGATGTATTTGAATCCTGTTTTAATGTACTCAATACAAACTTTTTTTTTAATGTAGTACTGTCTTGTACTGCACTGGTTTAAAAGTTTTCTTGTCCTGTATTATCTGGTCTAATGTTTAAATAGATGAGTTTTTTTTTGTATTTCAATGTCATTGTAATGAAAACATTAAAACTGTTCAAGTCAATTCTGGATTGTAGACATGTGTAAAGTCTCCCAACAAAAGCATTAAAATGTTTGAACAATTTTTTTGCTATCAATCAGATTTCATGATTATTGGATTAATGAATATGAGATCAATGCAATTTGGTTTAAATAATCTGTACTGATGATTATATAAAGGAAGTAAAGGTAATGGGAATGCTGTCTATGTTCCACTCATAGAATCCCTAACACTGTGGAAACAGGCCCTTTGATCCAACAAGTCCACACCGAACCTCTGCAGAGCATCCCACCCAAACCCACTACCCATTTTCTCTGTACCTCACCTAAGCTACACATCCTTGAATACTGTGGGCAATTTAGCATGGCCATGACCTGCACATCTTTAGGCTGTGGGAGGAAACCAGAGCACCCAGCAGAAATCCATGCAGACATGGGGAGAATGTCTGTATAGAGTTTGCACAGTCACCTGAGGTGGGAATCAAATCCAGGTCCCTGGCACTGAGGCAGCAGTGCTAATCACTGAGCCACTGTACTGGTGCTCTGGAGATTACCTGCATTTAACTATGTTTGAAAATAAGAATTTTTTTTTGCCTTGGACATTCTGGGAGGAACTACCAGTATCTGTATCATTTTTCTAGGTGATCCATGTTTTTATGGTCTTTGTATGGTCCTTGGGCTTATTCTTACGAACGTGGGAAATAAGAGCAAGGGAGGGCCAAACCTATTCCATTTAACTGGATCATGCCTGATCTATCTCCAGGACTATTTTCCCCACACTATCCTCTTATCCTTTTGATGTCTTTAAGATAGTAGACTTCTAGATATTAATGATTAATATAAACAACTCTCTCATCCTGCATCAAGTCACCTACAAATTGACCTGTGCAATAGCTGGGTGCAATAAGCTGAAAAGCCTCCTCACTGAACTGTAGCTTGCTCAATATATTGCCTTGATTATAATCACCTGTTGTAAAGTAATCTAGATTTTTGACACCTGGAAAAGGAGACTCTACTGGATGGTTTTATTTAGGGTATTTAATGCTGTTCATTTGCAAACAAATTTACAGTAAGCACTTAATCCACTATGTCCTCACAATCAAAGAATCATCCCTACCCTTTTAAATTACAAACTGCCCTTGGGTTACATGATCTGAAAACCTATGCCTAGATTTTCAGAGTCCTGGAGACTTGAAAAGTGGCAGGCAGAATCTGGATTTGGAAGTCCTGCCTCAATTTCTGGCTGATCCTGTTTTTGCCAAGGGAGCTGGGGTATGCAGATCAGGGCCAGGAGAATAACTCTCATGATGGAAACTCAAACTTAACTCAGCCATTTGAGTGGAGTATTTTCAGAGTGAGCACAAATGCTTGTGGAGAATGGTTAAGGGGCTGGGGTTTTCATGTGGAGGGGTGGGTATTGAGAATCTGGAAATTTCCTGGATTGATACTGCCAATGCAGCAGAAAGGGTCTTGGATGGCATGATTTTTATTCCATGGAGTTGGGTGTGGGCTTGAAAGAGGCTGCCAACCCCATAAACAGTTTGGCACTTGGAAATCTGTGGCCAACTCCAAAGTGGTCTTGTTAAAAGGTATAATTAGCTTAATTAAGAGGCCAGACTTCCATTATTTTGAGTAAGTGCACACCGAGGAAAACATTGCATGATTCTTTTTTCCTGTCTTCGGTCTGTTTGTCAATGGTACAGTATTTATTTCCAAAAGATAGAGGTGTCAATTATTTATAGTTTCTGCTAACAATGGTTTAAAGTCATGAATGGGTGTTTTAATTAGCTTTTCCAATTACACTATTGTTTCTGTAGGGTTAATTGATTTGTGAAATGGGTATGGGGAGGCTTTGAGGGGCTATTAGGATGGGGGGGAACTGCATGAAACAATGAAACGGCAATGGTGGAAGCAGGAAAACTGTAACGGAATAAGGGTATTTGTGAGACCTTTTGAGGTTTTCTTTCAAAATATTCCCATCTCCAGACAATGGTTCATCATTTTTCCATGGGACTGTGAACCATGAGGTCTCCAGAAGCTGACTTGACTTCATGAAAATTGCAGGAAAGCTAGGAGATTCCCATCTTCATGATAGTACCAGCCATGAGATGGACTGCTGACACCCTTCTCCCATACTAATGAAATTTGGCAGGAGTAGGAATTCCAGAATTGGATCTCATCCATGTGAACAAAGAACAATACAGCATAAGAAGAAGCTCTCCAAGCCTGTGCTGACACATTTTGCCCTTCCATACTAAAACTGTCTTCGCTTACAGGATCTGTATCCCTTTCTTCCCTTCCTAGTCCCATATTCGTCCAGGTGCTTCCTGAATGACACTATTGTGTCTACTTCCACCAGCACCTCTGCAGTACATTCCAGACACTCACCACCCTTTGCTTGAAAAACATATCTCGCACGTCTCTTTTAAACTCCAACCCCCCCCCCCCCCCCCCCCCCCCCCCCTCTCAAACCTTACACCTTTGTCCCCTAGTAATTGACCTATCCACCCTAGAAAAAAAGCCTCATACTTTCCATTCTATCCATGCCATTCACAATCTTATAAACATCTATCAGGTCACCCTTCAACCTCCTGCGTTCCAGTGAAAACAATCTCGATCTATCCAACCTTTCTTAATAGCTAAAATCCCCCATACCAGGCAACATCCTAGTAAACCTTTTCTGTACCCTCTCCAAAGCATCCACATCCCTCTGGTAGTGTGGTGACCAGAACTGTACACAATATTCCAACTGTGACCTAACTAAAGTTCTGTATAGCTGCAGCATTACCTGCTTATCCTTCTACTCGCTGCCCCTTCCAATAAAGGCAAGCATGCCATAGGACTTTTTTACTACCTATCTACCTGCACTGCCATCTTTGGTGATGTCTGGACCTGCACATCCAGATCTCTCTGCACATCAATACTCTTAAGGGTTCTGCCATTCACTGAATAATTTCCACGTATGCTTGACCTTCCAAAACGCATCACCTCATATTTGTCCAGATTAAACACCATCTGCCATTTTTCTGACCTTGGTTCCAACTGATATATATCCTGCTGTATCCTCTGACAATCCTGCTCACTATCTTTAACTCTGCGAATCTCTGCATCATCTGCAAACTTACTAATTAGACCAGCTACATTTTCCTCCATATCATTTATGTAGATCATGAACAGCAGAGGTCCCAGCACTGATTCCTGTGGAACACCACTAATCACAGCCTTCCTTCCACTGCTACCCTCTGTCTCCTATGACTAAGTCAGTTCTGTATCCATCTTGCCAGGTCACCCCTAATACCATTTGTACCAGTCTGCCATGACGGACCTTGTCAAAGGCTTTACTGAAGTTCATGCAGACAACATCAACTGCTTTTCCCTCATCAATCATCTTTGTCACCTCAAAAAATTCGATCAAGTTAGTGAGGCACAACTGCCCCTGTGCAAAACCATGCTATTTATTGCTAATCAGTCCATTTGCTTCTAAATGCTTATAGATCTTGTCCCTGAGAATCTTTTCCAATAATTTCCCTACCACTGACGTGAGGCCTGTAATTTCTTGGGTTATCCCTGTTACCCTTTTTAAACAACGGGACAACATTAGCTATTCTCCAGTCTTCTGGGACCTCATCCATAGCCAAAGAGAGTACAAAGATGTCTATCAATGCTCCAGCAATTTGTTCTCTTGCCTCCCTCAATATTTTGGGACGGTCTGTGTAATCTCCCAACTCTGCAAAAATCCAGCCTAATGCATTGAAGAACTGTTAATTTTGTAAAAAGTGCCATTTAAAAATGGATAAAATGAACTACCTTTCTGGGTCTCAGAGTTGAAAAATCTATTCTAGCAAATTCAATACCTGTTTCTTCACTGTGCTAAGTGCTATCATCATAGCATTCTTACTGCTTGACTGCTTTCTGCAACCAGTGGGGCCTATAACTCTCAGTTTGATTGACAATTTAGATATTATTGAAGAATTGGCTGTCTTTAATAGTTATAAATACAAATGTTCATTTTTATGCAGGATTAGTTACATGGATTTTAAACAAGTGAATGGACTTCTATGAACGAAAATCGTTTTTATCAATCATAAAATCTGTAACAGATATTTATTACTTTATGTAATCTAAGCACAGTTCTGGAGGTTTGTCAATGGTGGATTCTGAGTGAGTCGGCATGGAAGTACAAGGACAAAGGTTGGTGGGTGAGGGGGCATGAGCTGGCATAAATGGACATGGGAAGTGGGCAGGGTATGAGGGGTAAGGATTAGAGCACCTAATGTTTAAGAAAACAAGTGGGATGAAGTTCCAGAGAATAAAGTATACCTTTCAAGTAGATTGCCTCTGACCTGCGGCAGTGCTTGGTAGACCTGATACCTCTGTCCTTCGTGCTACCCGCCCCAAGCCTCCCGG